ACGAAAGCAAGAAAAAGCCTGTGCGTTGCATAAAGATGCCAATGAAACCTGAAATTTCTGCTCGTTTACACGAGGCTCGAACAAAGCAGGCATTCTTCGGAACTTGAAAATCACTCTGTTGCTCTTCATATCTACGTCATCCCACTCGATTACATCACCAAATGACAACGGACGCTCTGCCCTACGTCTGCAAAGAGGATCCTATAGAATGCTGCTTCCATGGAGAACTTGTTTCAAAAGACGAACTTCTGATTTTTCACGAATGCCAGATCTAGAGTTCCGTTAGCTTCAAATCGAAAAGCGGCATCGGCCACGCTAGCAAGTACATGTCGACAGTCATTCTAAAGAAAAATATAGCCTTTATTTCAACATATCAAGGAAGATACATAGCTTACTTCGTCATTCACTACAAATTCCACGACGTGATTTCGAATGAATTCCTGGGTGACCAAAGTATCACTGATCACCAGCCCGATATGCTTCATAGCTACTTGACATTAGGCTTCAGTCCCGAAGACGAAGAACTGAAAAGAGCGATTTATGGAGAGTGACTTTGTGAGTGTGTGGAATCGGGAAAGAAGTTTTCAACAATGCTACTGCAAGTCGTAAAACACAATTCAGACCCTGACTTGTACTGGAAATAGCAAGGCCCAGTGCATGGTGTGAAAATAGTGTATTCGGCAGGGGTTGCTACAATATCATATCAAGGGTATGTGACAAGAGAATCGTAATTCGCCGCGCCAGTGGGCGTCGCGTGCGACGTCGCGCCCGCTAATGACGACGATTTTAGGTGGTATTGGTCGAGAATAGACAATGTATGACCAAAAATAGACATAAGTGTCCTTGTCTACATGAAATCCGATGCTCCAATCGAAAGGGTAGTGCAAATAAGGAAACGTCGCGCCCACTGCCGCGCGCGACAAAGCGGCATTTACGATTGTCTTGCCCGTCTCCCCAGTATCGGAGATGTCAACGGGAAACTGCTCGGACATCCAACAAAGAAA